GTCAAAAACTGTCCATTGTTTTATTTAAATTACGCTTCAACAAAATTTTTTAAATTAATAATGTAAAGTTTCTACACGGATTTGAAATAATTTCTCACCTTTTGGACTTTTTCTGGATTGGCACGAATTTTTCAAGACTAAGACCTGGCCAAATCGATTCAGCCGTTTTCGAGTTTTACTTGGACATTTGAAAGACAGCTCCATTTTTATATATAAGATAAGGTAGTGCTGCATGCAAAAATAAGGGATCTGCACAGTTCTGTTTATTGCGTCAAAAAAAAAAGTATATTGCGTCGGACTGCGGGAAGTAGCTATGTCATTATTGTGCAGGGAGACAAAACAATTTTCGATTCCTTTAAGATCATAGTAAAAAAACTAATGTTAATAGTTACAAATAGCCCATAGCTCCCCATAAGAATAATGCAACTAGTAAAGAAAACCAAAATACAGCTTACACCTTGAATAAAATATGATCAATAGATCTAGTAAAGTCTAATAGATCAAGAATCAGAATCAGTAATGCAAACGCTGTCTGGTGATGTTGAAGTACAAAATTGCTCTACCACAAATACTATGTCTATCATACCGTCCATATGAAAACGCTGACACGAAAATAACTTAGAGCAAACTAACGTAATTATATAGCAAATATGTGAAACGGTTTCCATTTTTTCATTTCATATGAAACATTAATAAAAACCGCAGTGCGGATAACACAACAGAGTTCACATACGAGAGAGAGAGTTTTGTGTGAACGTTGCTTTTCTCGTTTATAAGAAATTCATTCGGCGTACACGCACGCTTCCTTAGACACTCCGGGAGTCGTTCATATCAGACGCCACGCACGCACTCTGTCTGATCATTTTACTGCATTGCGTACATAAAACAACTTTGGCCGATCCTGTAATTGATACTCCGGGACGAACAAAAACGATGTGATTTCCAAGAGATTTATGAAGGGTTGATGATATTTTTGCTTTATTATCTAGTCGAGAGCTTGATATTGGAATTTATTGTCAAGATAAAGGTGTGAGCGTTGATAATTGTTTAATGAATATTTTACTTTTTAGGCACGTTTGTACATTTGTCCTAAGGTGACCATATTTGTTAATGTCAAACCTGGATCGACAATTTTTAGTTATGCAAATCCGGCATGAACGGAGAAAGACTTTATGCTAAGTAACTTAAGTATTATTTTACACAAACAAATAGAATAACAAAACTAGTGGGGTGTATGGCATCGAAACAAAATGTTAGAGGAATATTCAATGTCTTCAAATAAATTTTTATAAATATTGTAACATTGTCTAATATTTATAAGGATTATATAAATTGAATTGCAGAGCTGAAATTATTTGTTTAAACTATATAGAACTTTAGTCAGAACTAAAAACAAAATCTGAATTATTTTCGCCAAAAAAAATTTTTTCTGAAAAAAAAAAATTTAAAAAAATTTGCAACATTTTTTTTCCAAAATCAATTATTTTGTGAAAACAAGCAGCAAGTTCTTTGAATCATTTAAATCGTACGCTTATTTCTCTTAAAAACTGCCATTTTTTGCACATTTAGCTTTGTATCTTCGAAATGGCTAGGCCTGACTTTGCCAAAAACTAACAGTCTTTTCAACAAATTGAATGTTTTTTAGATCATTCAAATCGGATGCTCCGTTCTCTCAAACACTCGATTTCTATTTTCTGCACTCTTTGCTCTTTATCTCCGTAACTGCTGGACCTGCCTAAACTAATCAGAATGTCTCCCTATCAATAGAAATCCAATGTTTTTTGAACCATTGAAATCGGTTGATCCGTGCGCCACCAAACGTGACTGGAAATTTGTATCCATACATACATACACACACATCCATTTTTTCTGAGGTATGCCAAAATGTTCAGAAACCTTCAAAACGTCGAGAAATGCAAAAATTTTCAATATCGATTTTTGGACGATTACAATAACTTACCATATGGGAAGTTAATACTTGTTTTTAGCTACATCTATGAATTTATAAAGTATAATTCTTGAATTTAAACCAAGTTCTATTATAAGTAATTAAATTAATTTTCATTTATTAATAATTTTATCCCATTTTTTGGACTTGAAACGTACTTTAACGTCCACGTACTCTGCAATATCAACACAGTTTCAAATTACATCATTTACATTTTTCCAATCAATGATTTTAACAAATTAAAAAAAAGCTGAGGTATAAAATACCACTAACTAGTTGTCAAAAATCATGTTTCAGATTAAAAAATATAATTTTTGATAAATTAAAATCAAATAATTGATTTCACGGTAATAAAGTTAAACGAATACGTGTCGTGCCCACATGGGAAATGAAATTTGTAAAAATTTCAGCGCACGTATATATTTTTATGAAAGTATAAGTATTCATGTTTAAGGGTTTTAGTAACTGATTTAAAGAATCTTTTTTAAAGGTTAATTTGTACTAGGCAAATATGTATATAATGCAATTATATATTGGAAGTCAACACATTCAAATTATATTTGTTATAGCTAATTCAGTTTAGTGCAATACTAGCATTGTTTGCACAATATGCAGAATCATTATTTATTCTGCATATATCCTGTATCAAATATAATATATATATATATATATATATATATTTATATATATATATATACTCGTATACAATTTTACACATGATGTGTGTATACGAGAGTAAAAAATATTATGATACTTGCAAGTACATATTTGCTTCTTAATTAGAAGCAAATATGTACTTGCAAGTTTTTTATTTATGTATTTAAAATTGCATATTTTAGAATTTTATATGATTAAGAAAATATTACATCTACAGTTAGATTACTCTTCAAAGCTAAAAATTCATAAGGTACAAATTGAAAATACCGAACATTAAACGCTGACAATAATCACAGATGCGAACAGAGTTTATTAAATTAAATGATGAGTCATATGCAAATGAATGCAACATGCATTATGATGCAACACCGTGAAGCAAATCCTGATGGATGTTTTGCATAATATCAATCTCCTATGCGAAGGATAATGTTTTAATTCGATTAGGAATCACATGTACGATTATATTTGACTTTGAGTATTATATAAGTAAAATTTTCTATATCACTATATATATTTCTGGGATTAATTTGGGCTTTATTGTTCCCATGAAGGTAATTGTTAAAGTTTTCATAAAATATGGAATTCTAGTTTTAATTTAATAATTTAATAATTTAATAAAAAGAGATTACTCGATAATGCAACTACATTTGCATGTGCATACAATATATTTATTATAATTTTTTGGGGATTTTGGAACGGAGCATTCTGATATAAAAATTATAAACAAAAAATAGTATAGAAGAATAATAAACTACATCATTAGCAAGCCTAATTTTGACTTTAATTAGTTTGTGCTTTTTTTACATTTTAATAACATCATAATTTGCAGATTATTAGTATGATTGTACGCGGTGTTTATAGTAGACATTTGTTTCATCTTTTTAAATATCTTGTAATTTTTTTTAACTGTATAAGATAATAATCATTGCATATCTCGCCATCGATTAAGTTTATAATTTTGTTTAATTTATAAATTACTTGTTCAAAATATATAGTCTCAAACTATAAATAAAAAATTATAGATAAGGTATTTATTTTTTTAGACCCATGTTTATAGTAATAAAATTATCAAACCTAAGCAATTCGTTAATAATATTTCAATCAAGCTAATTTCGAATTGGCTATATAATATTAAATTGGATTACTCATATACAGTAAAACAAAACAAATGGAAAGAAAAACAAAATCACTGCTCTGACTAATTGGCAGTAAATCTGAATTATTAAAAAACATAATACTGCTATGTGAAGCAACAATAAAACCAATCTGGACTTATGGCGTCGAATTGTGGGGCTGCACTAGTAGATCAAGAGTTTCATCCATCAAAAGAAATAAACAAAATTTTGAGATGCATTGTAAATGCATCTTGGTATATCTACCAAAGTACCTAAATACTTCACAACGATCTGGGAACAGACAGATACTGTAATACTGTAAAATAATGAAAAACATAAGTGAAAGCCAACACGACAAGATTATCAACCACAATGACCCTACATTAATTAACATATTAGAACCATCAGCTATTAGAGCATTGAACAAGAAGCACCTTTTGGATCTAATACAGTAAAATGGATTAACCCACTGGGGTGACCTCTATCATGTAAAGTATACAGAACTCTAGTACTTCCAGTACTATTACTGGAAAATTAGCACAGTAACTTGTGGGTGACATATTATTAGAAGGTGATGAATTATTAAAAAGAACACACGAGATTATTGTGAATCAAAATGCTTGATTTAATAATGTAATAAATAGTATTAAAATATGTGATTGGCAATATTGTATTTCTAAAGTGGTGACGGCGTATTGAAACTGAATAATGCCGCGCTCAAAATCCAATCAGGTATGCAAAAAAAACAATATGTTTCAAATTAACCTTCATCCTCGATGATCTCGAGCTATGGTTCGTTTTATTGGAAAACGCATTTTCTGTGTCAAATGTCATTTACGAAAAACAGTACCAAAATTCTATCTTAAGCAAGTACCAAATTCTATCTGCCAATATTAACACCAGGTGTGCGATTGAAGTTCGAGAATTAATAATTACCGAACCTAAGGAGTTACCATACACTGATGTGGGTAATAGATTATAAGAGAGAGGCTAGTCATAATTTATTAGAAAGAGTTCAGACGAGATTGTTATAAAATAAAATGCATATTTTTAGAATCTAAAAGATTATTAATAAAATATTTAATTAGCAATATTGTATTGATAAAAGCTTACAGATTTTTTATATTTTCTGATTGCTATTTATTTATTGTTATAAAAAAAAAATCGTTTCAAATATTTCTACTGACCGCCGCGTTTCATCAATCTTCTATACCATTTCGTCTGACTTTTTAAAAATTTATGAACATTCGTTTCAAATGCTAGAGAGTGCAATCACTTACCGATGCTGGTATCGTAAGCATGAAGATACTCGGATGTCATAAACTGGGAGATCAGGGAAGATTTTCCGACCGCCCCGGCTCCTAACATCAGAACTCTGTAGGACGGCTGAGACGTAGACGACTCCCTTGACGAACACAACGACACCGACGCCGATGTTCGGGCTTCTGCGGTCAAATGCTCGGTACTGGAAATATAAATAAATATTATTATCTTGAAGCATATTTTCTGATATATATATATATATATATATATATATATATATATATATATATCATTTACTTTCACTATAGATTCAAGAACGCTAGGATTATTTTTTACGGCCTTTGGATACTCTATTTGGGTCATCATCAGCTTTCCACAAATATTGTACTACTTATACATTTTACATTACTGAGCCATTTGTGAAAATTTTACATAAATTAGACAGTAAGAATAGAAAAAAGCTACTTTTAAGTAGCATTTTGCGTTAAGGGGGTCTTCCTATGTGATGGGTTGAAAAAAATCGATTTTTTTTGTCATAAATTGCTCCCTTAACATGTCTAGAATACGGTAGTAAAACGATTTTAGAAAATTTGAAGTCGAAAAGATACAGCAGGTAAAAGAAAGAGCGGTTCGGAGCGCTGAGTTGGCAGTTGAAACTTTAAACGCGTTTTTCTCAAAACTGTGTTTTTCAAACTTTCCTCCATTGTATCTCAGAAACGGCTGGACCGAATTACTTGAAATTTATAGGGCACACTCAATATATTTAAGCGCATGAAATGAACTATTATCAATCAAAAATTTTCAAAACTTCGATTTTTTTATAGCAAAAAACAAAAAAATACGCCCAATTTGCAACTTTTATTTCAAATGTTTATCAAAAATCCAATTTTTTTTATATTCATTTGATTATAGGTCATTCCGTGCTTTTAAGCCTACAAATTAAAACGCCGTTTATTTCTTCAGATAAGCCGATCAGCCGGAATCGTGGAGGAAGTGGGAGCTCTTTGTTTCGAGGCGGGGGTGTTCAGAGCGCTGTAACTCAAGTTTGACTGAATATTTTTAGCTGAAATGTTGTATTTATACTGTCCAAATATGTGGTAATAAATGATAAAAAACTTGAAGCTCTAAATATTTACTGATCGTAGAAAAAAAATCCTAAAATATCCCTAAAAAACAGGCCGTCACATAGGAAGACCCCTTTAAAGCATCAATGTATAAATATCTTATACATAAAAATAAGAATTAAGATTCATCTATTGAGGTAAAATGTTCAAATGTTTATTTAAAAAAATAGTTTTTCTTACACGAAACTTCAATTTCGATTATTAATTTATATCATTTCAACATACTTATGATAACTAGAATTCTATAAATTAAATATATTTATTCAACAAGTTTCATTTCATCTATTTTGTGTTCTCTGACCTATCAATTTTATTTAAGTATGAACGTCAATTGTAATCAGTAGCTATCTACAAAACACTGATAGATGATAGATGCTAAATAGAACCTGATTAGAATTGCTTAAGTCCAGGGCAAAATTTTAAACTTTGATAATTTTTATAATACTACTGCTTGTAGTATAACTATAATATTTTATTATGCTTTACTATGAAAATTATCGTTACCCAAATCTTCATTATCATTACGAAGTCACGGCCCAGCAGATTTTTACCAGAAACTAATCACCAGATTCTCAGCTAATATATCTTTCAAAGTTTATGAGAAATTAATCAATTCAAGATTGTGGACTCAAACTAAAACGTAAACAAAAAGTTCTTGATTTTTATTTTTTTTTTACTTTTTTGCTAATTACAAAGAAACGATACGCTGGTCATTATCATTACCAAAATTTTGGAAATCGGTTCAACTGCTTTTGAGAAAACGCCGATGAAAGACTCGGCTAACATACTCACACATATACTTTTTCTAAATTTGGTCTCATTCGATTCAGAGTGACTCGAAACGTCGAAAAAACAAAATAAGAAATTCGGATTTTTTTTTAAGTTTTGTTATGCAACAATGCACATAAAACTCAATAACAAAATTAATATATAAATACATCTTATACATAAGAATATTAATATAGACCGAAGTGCATATGAACAAAAAAATAGAATAAATCATCTGAAGACGTAAGATGTAATAAAAATATTATGTTAAATAAAGCATGAATTGTGATAAGTCATCTTTTAAATCTTTTAATCAAATAATTATTACTAGTTAAAATTACATTTATAAGTTTAGATAATTTATGTAGTTTTATTTTATTGGCGAAATGAGATAAAATTTAAATTATCGCCTGAAGAATAAAAAGCACGTTTCATTAAATTAATTCACATTCTTGTTTTTATATTTAGTTTATAATAAATATGTATGTGTGTGTAAATTTTGCAACGGTGGACACTGGTTTTTGGAAAATCTTTCTAGATCATTATTTCAATATTCTCAGCTAATTAATACAACAGTTTTCGAATGTACACGATACAAAATAGATACATACAATAGCAGTGGTAGCACCACTGCTTCAAAAATACCTAAGTATTTATTGAAAATGAATTCATTTCTTATTGAAATAGGTTGGAATGTTTTGGTTCATACTATTGGTTGTTACTAAGCCATTTGTTAATTTAGTATATTTAGAATTAGTTAAAGGAACGCAAAAGTTCTAGCATTTTGCCTCAAGAAAAAATGACATAAACCGTCAGGTCAATGTGCTTGATTAATGCACGGAAATTTTTGCAATTTTATTCGCATTGTTTACTTACACATTTAAAGTGTATTAAGTAATTTGTTGATTTGATCTATTCATCATTTGTTAATGGAAAGCAAAATATTCCAGCAATTTGCCTCAAGGCAAGTAGACATGAACCGCTAGATCTAAGTGCTTGATTAATGTACGGAATTTTCTGCAATTTTATTTGCATTGTTTACTTATACATTTAAATTGAATTGAGTCACTTGTTAAAGTAACATATTTATTTGTTAATGGAATGCAAAAATTTCCAGATATTTGCCTCAAGAAAAGATAACAGAAACCGCCAGATCTATGCTTGATTAATGCACGGAAATTCTTGCAATTTTATTCGCATTGTTTACTTACACATTTGAATTGAATTGAGTCACTTGTTAAAGTAACCTATTTATTTGTTAATGGAATGCAAGAAGTTCCAGCAATTTGCCAAGGAAATAAGATGACATGAACCAACAGTTCTAAGTAGCTTGATTAATGTACGGAAATTTCTGCATATTAATTTGCATTGTTTACTTACAGATTTAAATTGTTTACGACATCTTAGGAATGCAAGTATTAATATTTACATTAATGCATTTCTTGAAACAATTTTCTAAAATAAGCATCTTCACGCTGCATTCTATTTAGATTGTGTAATAAATAAACTAAATATAATAAGCTCGCTATAGATCATTATTATGAAAATAGCGAATGAATGTACGGCAGTGTGAATTTATGAAAACAAGAGTTGTGAGAAGGATCGTTTTGAAGTACTTATTTATACGCATCAGGAGGCCTTATTTATACCAGCAGCATATGACAGGGCATCTCGTTAAAAAGACAAAAAGCATTCATATTTCGCTCGAGTACAAACAATACCTTTTGTTCGAAAGCGTTGCGCTGTTTATTTGTTCGCAGGAGGAGAACCGTGAAAAAAGGAGTTATGGCGGATTAAGAACAGTAATAATTTGAATGAAATGGGCGATTTTTAATCCACTGAATTATACATTTGTGGAATATAGGATGTTATACGTCAGTTTTTGCATGTAGCTGTCAGTCTGATGTGCAGTAAAGACAACAATGAGTTTTTGTTATGTTTTGTTATTTAGTACTTTGTTCTTAAATTTGCTGCAGTTATTTATTAAGACTTCCAAGTAAAAAAATAGTTATTAATAGAGATATTCCTGACAAGCCCAGCAGTTATATTAGTTGATGAAATTCCTTTCCAGACCACAAACTACGCAATAGCAACTTAGTAATGCACTGTGTTGCACTATACAGCGACATTGAACAAGTTGTGAAATAATGTTATCTAGGATTTCAAAGTGACTTTGAACGTGAGCACATAAAAGGCTTGCCAAACCCAACAATATTTTGATGATAGTATTTTATTTAGATTATTTATTAAATACTATAACATTTGCTTCATCAGTACACTATTACTAAATAACACAATGATGCGTAATCTTTTAAACATTTATTGTTTTAATCAGTCAATCAATTTATATTTTGAATTTATATAGTAAATTTTAAACTTAATTTTTTTTAAATTTTGTGCACGGTATAATTAGAATGTTGTACATAATATAATGTAGAAATTTTCTATTTACTCTTAGTTCACATTACCTAATTTCTTCAATTTGTAAGGTATAAAGCAAAAATATTTTAAAGTCACAATGATGTATTCCAGCAAACAGTGAAATAAGTGATATTGTTTAAATATCTTCAAATTTTAGAATATTTTATATTGTGTGCAATTGATTTGCAGAATTGATAAAATATAAAATTCAATTCGACTAACATCCAAATGAACTGATAGCGAGTTTTTAGCGACCATAGAAAATATAAAACTAAAAAGAACGCATTTAATAGATTTAACCCTTTAATCGATAATATGTTGTTTTACCATATTACCTATGATGGGTATGTGTATGTACGTTAATGTGTAGTCTGTGTAATGTACTGTGTTTATAATTGCAAGTTAGAGTTTCTTTCTCCTTATAATACCAAAACATTTTTTTTTCTTATAAATTACGATCTGTCTAAATAGAAAGTCATTGAGTAATTACTTTGACAAATAACGTGGAATTTTAACAGGAAAACCCAGTGATCCACCTTTTATCAATGTACTAATTAATATCTTAATTAAATTTTGATATAAAAACAAAATTTAGACATAATTTATTACATTGATAAAAGGTAAACCACTGGGTTTTCCTTTAAAAAATCAAATTAATTACCCTTTTTTTTATATACAAAAAAGTCCTTTGACCTTGATTATAACATGATAATATTATTACTGTTTTTTAGCATTTTCATTACAGGAGATATCGGATGCGTCCATCATTTTGAATGTTTTGTTTATTTTTGTAATTATATTTATAAGTAGCATACTTGTATACATTTATTCATATTAATCTCTGCGTTTAATTTGTATAACTAACATTTGTTAACAGCAATCATAGCAA